CGCAGGGTGCTGCCGGTGCGTCGAGCCACCTGGGGGGGCTCTTCAACTGGTGGGGGAGATTGTCACACCTTGCAGGAGCTTTCCTCTCCTCAGGAACTCTCTGCAGGAGGGGGAGATACAGGAGAGGTGGAGGAAGATCTCAGCCTGGGCGTCTATTGTCTTATGTAGTCTGGAAGATGAGTGGAAGGTGGGGTGGGTGCAGTTTTCTCTGTGGTGGGGTTGGGTGGACTGTCCCGGGCTCTGTGGGGCCGGGGGGCGCTGCTGCACTGGGCCCCGGTCTGGATGGGCCTGGGCCCCCTTTCCCTGGCGGGTCGCGGAGTATGGGAGTGCCTACTGGGGTCAGCGGGGGAGCTGGCCCCAGGGAGGGGTCACCTGCCCCTCCCTTCCTTCCCTCCCCATCTCCAGCTGCCTCCCTCTTCCCGCTCCACCACAACCACCCACACATGCAGGACCTTGGAGTAGGGGTGCAGAGGAGGCTACCCCCCCGTCCCCTTCTGGCTGCCTCTGCCTCAATTTTATCCCACAACTTAGACATTCACATTACTCACACTCTCATTACACATACATATAGGATCTTGGGGGTGGGCGCGATACACGGAGTCCAAAGTACCATCAGGGTGTACAACCTCACCCCTGGCGTCGTTGCCCACCTCTCAAGGTTAAATACACGTAGACATTGAGGGCCAGCAGGAGGGACTATGCGCTTACCTGCTGCTCTCTGGCAGGTAGCTCCTTGCCGTCCTGGGTTTTAAATGCACCTTAGAACACACATGCATCAACACTACAATGAGCGGGTGGAGGGAGGTTTGGAGTCTTCTCTCACCCCCGTTCTCTGCGGCCTGCTGGAGCGGGGGGGCTAGGAGGAGGAGTTGGCCCTCCGACTGCGGTCTGGAGTGTGGGGCCTTCCTGCTGCTGCGGAGTTGGGGCGGTCTGCCTCTCCCCACCGCAGGGAAAAAGGTAACACCACCTGGGTCTGGGTGCAGTTCCCCCCTCCAGGGGCGGGGGCACCTAGACCCGGTTTGTAGAGTACGCTTGGGGAGTGTGATCGTGTGTACAGCGTCTCTTTATGTCTGTCTCCACGTTGGTTGAGTGTGGAGTAAGTGCATATGAGAGCATGAGGTTGGGAATGGATGTTTGTGTCTGTGTGTGCCTGTATGTCTGTGTCTATATGTCAGGTTGGGTATCAGGCGCCACCTCTCTGGAGACATCTCAGGCCCTCCAAGGTTTGGAGGCCTATCTCCACCCACCACCACTTCCCCTGCCAGTGGCGGACTCCCTCAGGTGTCAGTGCGTTGGTGGTTCTTTGTGTCTGGGGATGGGCGTCCGGGTACACACCGGCTCACTCCTTGGCGGCCACTTATCGGGGCCTGGAGCCTGGGGCTCGCTCGGGCCACTTCGGAGGTGGGGTGCCTCCGAAGTGGCCTCTCGGCCTGGGCCTTGGTCACTCAGGCACAGCTGGCTGCTGGCGGAGCTCACGGGCGTGTCACTGCAACTCCCCCTGGCTTCTGCTGCTGAGTGAGCCCTCATCTGGGACTCTCCTCAGCTCTTACTGGGACAGTGGCGCGGCTGCCCCTCTGTTGGTCTTCCTTGGTCTCTTGTGTTCTGGGGGCCTCTGGATGTCTGGAGTTTTGATCTCCTCCATACCTGCTTCATGCCCTGGAGGACGGGGCTATGGCTCCCCACACTCCCTAGCAGATCGTTACATGGAGAAACCTTTGGAATACAAGCATGCTGATCCACACAGGTATGCACACAGGTGTACACACGGGTATTCACAGACGCGGACTACAGCTTTCTTGGCTGCTGCCTCAAAGCACATTGTGCGCTGTCTATCTTGCATGCTGCACAATATCGTTTATTATTTAGTATCTACTGTTATCTACTGCTAGCTAGTTTATTGTGATGGTGCTGTTTTTTTATTATGTTGCTCTTTGTTGTTTGCTTTCTCTTGTGTTTTTTTTCTCCATACAGGTGACCCAGGTGTTTCTTTTTTGTTTTGATTTTTCTTTCTTCCCCCCCTTCTCACCGTCTCTTCTCCCCTTTGGTTTTCTTTCTCTCCCTCTCTTTCTTTCATTCTTTCTCCCTGTCCTATCCCCCAGTCATGTCTGTCCCGTTTGTAGCAACTGAAAATAAAATAAATTCATAATTATAATAAAGGTCAATCAAATGGACCAATATGGCAAGGCCATGATGATCCACTTGGTAAAATAAATCCGCTTGGCATCTTTCTTGGCCTTAAGACAACAATTCTGATGGTAAAGATCCAAACGGGACACAAAAAAAAAAAAAAAAAAAAAACACCAAAAACTCAAAGCACAAAGATTCCCCACACTCCCTTAACCCACGGCCTCTCCCGGAACCTTTAACTGGTGTCTGGATCCCTGGGGAAGCGTTTGCCCAAACAGCCTGGAGAGGACACAAGAAAGAAAGGTGGTAATCACATCACATAGTCTTTGCACCACCTTTATTTCTATGTTTTCCAGACACATTTGCCACAGCTCTCTTCAGTGGTTAACCTTATTTGCTCTCAGTAACAACCTTTCCTTTTCACAGACAACCACCACATTTCTTAATGAGGAGCAGCTGTGCAGGACCTGGAACCAAAAGGCTACTTACTGATTTTAAAATACACAATAAATATTCAATAAATAATTAAACATCTGTGCAAATGTTCTTCATGTGCATATCTATAGTCAAGGTGCAATGCTGAATAAAGTGCTAGATAAGGTGCTTTTAATAAAGTGCAATGGTGCTATACACCTTATAATATAAACAATCCTAGTAAGGGAGTCCTCTTCCTTACAGCACCACTTCATTTTCCTTCAAGCTTACTTGAAGCAAGTGAAGCAGTGCTGTAAATTAACAAACTGTGATAAATTGTATGTTTCTAATAAAATGAAGTAGAGTAGTAGTATATTAAATATTCCTTTGAGTGAGAAAATCATGCCATACCATAAGTGCTTCAACTCAGAAAACAAATCAAAGGGGTAAAACAGAGGTGCAATCATTCTTAATACATATATCAATTTCTCATTGGTTATATTACCCGGGTGTATGCTACATACATCCAGTAACACATTTAACATAGTATCAATTCCCAACATTTGTTTAATCTCTTTTTCAACATATCTCCAGAAATAAATTAACTGAAGACAATTCAATGGAATATGTGTAAAACAGGCATCTTAACGCTGAGATCAGAAAGCTCAGAATTTCAAAAAGCATCTCAAAGCTCAGGTTTGGAGAAAAGCTTTTTATGCTAGGTGTTCTTATCAATAAATATCAATGTATTTGTACATAAAATTTATAATGATGTTTATAAACAATCAGTTTCTTAATGATCAAGAAACTGATCTTACAGCCCATTGTTTGTCTGTGGTACTAGTTTCAGGCATTGTGCAAATGTACTGTTTATAAGGTTGGGCAGACTGAAGAAGTCACTTGGATGTGTGACAAAATGTTTTGGGATTACACTTTGTTAGCTTGGGGTCTGGAGCTGCAGCTTAGTGAATTCAGTTGGGCTCAAAATGAATGAAAGAAATTTAAAAAAACGACAACTCGAATTCTTATTTTAAGAGCTGAAAACAATTCCATGTGTGAAACAGATTAAAAGCTGGAGGTGTTGAATATCTGGGTGGACCACTGTCTATTTATTGTTTATTATTATTTATTGTTTGATAATCATCATAGTGGTTTTGGTCTGAAATTAAAAAAAAAAGTTGGAAATGGGTTTGCCTTGCTTCTCTCCTGCTTAGTGTGTCAAATATTTAGTAACTTTTCAGCCTGGTTTAATGGCAATGGTATATTGAATGAATGTAGATTATTCATAGATTTGTAGGCCAGTCTGGAACTGGAGACACAGCTCCTCAACTTTGAAAATGAGTAGATAGCAATGCTACTGTAATCAGTCATAGAAACATGGCCCTGAAATTACATTACCGAGGTGTAAACTGTTGTACTGATCAAAAGAAACACTATATTGATCTGGACACTACTGTCAGCATTTTCTTTTACTGTTTTCTTAATCAGCACGATAGTCTTGGTCTGTGCTGTCTTTTTTACTAGTTTGCAGCTTCTGGACTGTGCCGTGTACACTGAGGAGCATTAAAGCCTCAATATTGAAGTCTGAGGTGAAATGTATTCAAGCTCCTTAGATTACAATGACCTGGATGACTGAAAATTGAACACAGCCTGCATCATTATTATTATGAATTTTTTTTTTTTTGGTGCAGTTCCAAGAGCTTAATTATCCAAAGCTGATGTTAAAAATGACTGCATATGTCCACAAAACTGGACAAAATATACTTCAGATGTCCGTTGAAAACAGACAACTGAGGCAACAGTTCACACACTTTGACAGCAATGTCTGATGAGTCTTGATTTCTACTGCTACAGCTGGATGGCAGGGTCAGAATAAACAACATTAAAAGCATGGATCCATTGTCCCTTGTATCAGTTGTTCAGGCCGCTGCTTGTGGTGTGATGATGTGGGAATATTTTCTGGGCACCAGCTCAACATAATTTAAATGTCACAGCCCGCCTGTGTATTGTTGCTGATCATGTCGATCTCTTTCTGATGGCTGCTTCCTGCAGGATAATGGATCATGTCACAAAGATTAAATCATCTGAGTACAGCACTATGTTTAGGATACCAGTTTGAGATTATCTGTGACTATGTGTCACTTGTTATTTTTGTGTTTTAATGTTGTGCACCATGTAATGCTGGCATGACTGAATTTCTGTTGTGCTTGCATAGGATTAATAATGGTCTTGAATCTTGAATATATACATTATCTTCAAACTGCAGGCCATATAATGACATATCTCTGTATCAGTGTCTCATGACACTGATTTCAATTTACTAAAGCCTTATAGCACTCTCTGGTGGCCATGATGGAAGGTTACTATGTGGTTCCAGTTCCAGTACCTGTAAAGTCAGATTGTTGACAAAGAGACAAGATTATATTTATTCTTACATAAATTAACTCCAAAGCCCAAACTGTTGTGCTCATTGCAATCATTTATTTATTTTTATGCAGCACTTACATCACACATCAGCTTGTAATAAAAGAAATATTAAAGTTGAAAATATAAGTAAAAGCGATCTAATAACTGTCGGTGGAAACTCACATTATCAGGCTATATTCAAACTCCCACCAAAAGTCTGCACTCCCAACAACATCAGAGTCTTAATGACGTGGCATCATGTGGATCAATGCAATATCTAATGTTTTGACAGCCCTCAAAGCAGTGGGTTAGCCCACAAAGTGGCTTTAAAAAGCAGCCTGGTGGCTTGCATAAATACCATGACCTGGTATGTTGACAGATTTCTTTGTCCTTATTCATTAAAATATCAAGATGACAACAACAAAGCTTCATAATAAGACACCACCAACCTGTTGCTTACTGCGGTTATGTCGGTCTTATATGTACTCTATAGCTGGAATAAAGAAACTAACAGAGGCTCAGTATAGACCTTGCAGTGTTGGAAAAGTAACTGAAATAAGTTGGATATGGCTCAGGGAAACTGTCGAGCACAGTATTGAAAAATGGCAGCTTGCCAACAAACATCATAGAGATAAACATTAACATAAGCAGCAGTTCTTTTAGACAGAAAAGACCACCCTACATTTTCATGTGAAATGCAGTAAAGAATATTATAGAGATTGGCTAGTAATGATCTAAGTGCAGAATGATAAGAAATAAAATATAAAAATTACAGTATGGGAAGAAAATCAACTACTCAGGCACCACCTGAGTTTAGTGGTGCAGCGGTTATTCATCCATTGTGGGTTAATTTGTGATTCGAAATTACCTATGGATGTGTTTGTCTAGCTTTCTGTGTCACCAGACCAATGACTGTAAAAGCTTCTGAACTCAACTAAGAAAATGATTGAACATGGGTCAAGTTTACAATACTGGTGACAAATCCAACTTCCAACTAGACAGTGTTACATTTGCTTAAAATGTTTACTCTTTTTTTGCCTTCATTGGACAGAATGTATGTGTGTAAATTAGGCGTCCCTGATAACCAATAATGGTTGTTTCTTTCAAGAGTGACCATGTTTCAGAAATATAGAGCATACAATATTATAGAATCAGGCGATTATAAAATGAATGCAGAGATGTTGATTATACTTTGTACATTATATAATCAAACTAAGCAGTTAGCACAAACTTCCAATTAATGGGTAATTACTGTGGCTATAGTTAGGGAAATGCTGCAAAATGCTGCCAACAGCAACAGGGTCCTGCATCTCTACACAATCACAGAGGTCAGGCTGATGTCACCGTCAATCTCCAGGGAGGTAACGGCATGCAGGGGGTTGAAACGATACTTGTAAGTATGGGTCTGCATCCCATTGGCCACAATTCGGAAGGAGTGAGCTTCACAACTTATAGTCAACTAAAAAGAAATAAAAGATCATTTTGTTAGTGAAATCAGTTTGTTTACAGTGAAACGTGCTAAAGATAGCACACTTAACATGAGACACAATAGAAACATAAGTTATATGGTACTCCGAGGTCAGATCACCTATAATTCTCCTTTATTTTATGTGAAGTCATGACTGAAAAGCAGTGTACCACAAAGCAATGTGACTTCTACTGAAACTTGTACAGTGTGTATGTTCAGTCGTACCGTGAAAGGCTGACCCCGGTGGAAAGGCATGGCACCACCACGCTCCTCGGAGCCCCACTGATCCCACTGCTTGGTATTTCGCACCACGACATTCTCATTGAAACGTGGGTTGTAATGCAGAGCGATGCCAGACTGGTGGCTAAGATTCACAGTGAACCTGTGACGAAACACAAAATAACGCAATACCAGTGACTAATTAATCAATCATTTCTTTTGTAATTTAAGTCTCTAATTATACAGACAGGACAGTTTGGTTACCAATTGGCTGGCAAAAAAAAAATTCTTATGTTTTTTTAAGTTTGTTTTTTCCTGGTAACAAGATTCAATTCAAGAGCAATGTTATGTTACTGTAGCTTTGGCAGATAATTTACATTTCAAACTGTTTTAGATGAAACATTTCAATGTGTATTTGATCACCTACAACCACAATTCTGGCTTCTGTACATTGGCTGTGTCCCTGTGTGGCACACAGATTACAATCAGTCTATTACAGATACTCCTGATGTCCACTCATTATGTGTATACACCTGTCCACAGAATCAATGTGTTCTATCCCAGCCTCTCTTCTACTGTGGGCAAGACCAAAGAGCTGTCAAAGGACATCAGGAACAAAACTGTAACATGCGCAAGGCTAGAATAGTCTACAAGACCATGAAGAATAAACTTGGTGAGAAGGTGACAACTGTTGGTGCACTTATTAAAAAATGGAAGAAATATAAAATGACCATCAATGCAAAATTTTGTCTCATTGAGAAGAGTGGTGGATCAGCCCATTGCTACACAAGAGGACCTTGGTAATGATCTGAAGGTAGCTGGGAGCGCAGCCACGAAATACACTTTTGGTAACACACTACACACTACTACTACATCAGAACAGGAGCGCAGAGGATCCAGTCTCCATCGCACTGCACACTGTCCTCTCACACCTGGACAACAACAACACATACGCCAGAATGCTGTTTATAGACTTCAGTTCAGCGTTCAATAAATCCACCCCTCACAACTCATCAGGAAACTGACAGACCTGGGCATCAGTTCCCTCATCTGCAAATGGTTACTGGACTTCCTGACCAACCGCCCCCAACATGTCCGGCTGGATAACCGCTGCTCATCTACAATCATGATGAACACCGGTGTACCACAAGGCTGTGTGATGAGCCCTTTCCTCTACTCCCTCTTCACCCACGACTGCAGACCTGCTGATGGTTCCAACACCATCATTAAGTTTGCAGATGACACCACGGCGATTGGCCTCATCAGTGACAACGATGAGGCCGCCTACAGGGAGGAGGTGGATCGTCTGGCTGAGTGGTGCGACAGAAACAACCTGCTGCTTAACACCGAGAAGACCAAGGAGCTCATCGTGGACTACAGGAGGAATGCTGACCCACATCCACCCATCCACATTAAGGGGACGGCTGTGGAGCGTGTGAGCAGCTTCAAGTTCCTGGGAGTCCACATCTCCGAGGATCTCATCTGGACGACCAACTGCTCCAAGCTGGTCAAGAACGCTCACCAGCGCCTCTTCTTCTTGAGGACTCTGAGGAAGAACCACCTGTCCTCAGACATCCTGGTGAACTTCTATCGCTGCACCATCGAGAGCATCCTGACCAACCGTATAACAGTCTGGTACGGGAACTGCTCTACCTCGGACTGGAAGGCGTTGCAGAGGGTCGTGAAAACTTCCCAGCGCATCGCTGGAGCACCACTTCCTGGCATATGTATTGGACCGTCTTTAACTTGCCTGTGAACATTTTATTAATTCAAAGAAGGATTGGAAGAAAGTGCTGTGGTCAGATGAAACCAAATTTGAGCTCTCTGGCATCAACTCGACCCACAATGCTTGGAGGAAGAGCAATGCTGACCCAAAGAACAGCATCCACAGTCAAGCATCGAGCCAATGGACAGGCCACATACTGCAAGATCTTGAATGAGAACCTCCTTCCTTCAGCCAAATGGGTTGTGAATGGGTCTTCTGGCATGGCCAACACAATGACCAAAACATACACCAAGGCAACAAAGGATGTTTCGTCATGTTAGTGGTCTAGCCAGTCACCAGACCTCCATCCTATAGAAAATGGTAAATGGACTGATTCTTATATAGCGCTTTTCTACTCTCCCAGAGTACTCAAAGCGCTCTATACAACATGTCTCATTCATCCAATCACACCCACTCAAGCAAGCACCTCTAAACTCAAGTGCAACTAATAAGCATTCACACACTCATCTGTGTGTGAATGCTTATTAGTTGCACTTGAGTTTAGACACATCAGAGGGCAATTTGGGGTTAGTATCTTGCCCAAGGACATTTGGCATACAGACTGTCCTCCAGTCTGTATGCCAAATGTCCTTCCAATCAGTAGCTGATCTGCTCTACCACCTGAGCCACACCCACCCCTATAAAATCTGTGCACAATAATGAAGGCAAGTGGCACCCAAAAACCTAAAGGATAGTGAAAGGTTTTGTACATAGGAGTGGGTCAAAATCTGTGCTTTGTGTGTGCGCAAACCTGGTAACCAACTATAAGAAATATCTTACCACTATGCCTGCCAACAAGGGTTTCTCGACCAAGTACTAAGTCATGTCTTGCCTGGGGATAAAACTGATTTACTCAATGACATGCAAATGAACTTCTAACATTTATGTAATATGTTTTTTTCCCATATTTTTTGTTGATATTGTGCTCTTCTCCATTAAAATGAAGCCACCATAATTCATTTCTTTGGAAGGGATCAAATAATTATCTCCCTCACTGTATAGTTTAATTCTTAATTGTTTCACTTCACTACATAGTTATGATGTTTGCTGTTAAATTGATATATGCTAGTTTCAAAGTAAATAAAGCAACATCTGATCATGAAGTCTGACCTTGTGGCACTTGGGTATACAGTTCCCTGGATGGTGATGGTCCTGCCAGGTCTTAGTCCACCACTGATGGCAGACCTGTATGGAACCACCTGCACACAAGAAATATATATTATTTCAACAGAAAAACTGCAACTCTGACTACAGGTAGGTAAGATTTACCTTCTTAACATCCATCAGTTCACTAGTGACATCTTTAGGGTTAAAGGTAGGGTTAGGGACAATGTTTTAGCCACAAATAAATGAGCACATTTTTAGAAGCCAGAACGTTACCTTTCACAAAAGTCTCGTGCATCCATTTTAATACTACTACAAAGAAAATTCACAAAAAAAGAACAATATAGCATCTTTAGCAACACTAAAGAGTAAAACAGGGTGATTAAGCATTAGGTCTCTCTCTTGTAAGTCCCTGTCATTTAATTAATGATTTTTTATTAAATGATTTAATAATTGATCAACATATTTATTTATTTTGCCTTTCAGAAACCAGGTTGCAGCAGTTTGAATATGTTAAATTGAATAAATCAACACAGAGTCATACTAATTGTCAGCACATTTGAAGCAAAGGCAGAGGAGGAAGAGTAGCAGCAATCTTCCACTGCAGCTTATTAACCAACCATAGACAATACAGATTTTTAATTCATTTGAAATCCTAACTCTTAGCTTTGTACACCCGAACTGGAAAACGCGAAAACCTGTTTTATTTGTTGCTATCTAGACACCACCTGGTTCTTACTTGATTTTCTATCTGATTTCTAAGACTTTTTCTCTCATTTACTATAGACAGTGGGTGATTTTACTATCCTTGTTGGGAAAATCACCCACTGTCAGCCTCAACACTGATTCTATTACATTTAACAGTATTCACTGAAAAAATTATTTTGTCTGATAATTTCTTAATGACATTTAAATTTACAATAATGGATTACACACAGCATCCATACATCCATTTCCAAAGAGGCCCAGACCTCCCTCTGTCTATCCTCCTCCTCCATCTTATCTGGGGGAACACTCAGGCCAGCTGAGCAATATAATCTCTCCAGCATGTCCTGAGTCCTTAGGCCTCCTTCCGTGGGACACCTCACCCAGGAGCTGTCCAGGAGGCATCAAATTCAGATGCCCACCTCATTTGGTGCCTTTTGAAGTAGAAGACTTGCAGCTCTACTCTGAGCCCCTCTTGAATGGCTGTAGCTCAGGTGGTAGAGCAGTTCATCTACTAATTGGAATGGAAGGTTGGTGGTTTGATTCCTGGCTTCCCCTAGTCTCCATGCCAAATATCCTTGGGCAAGATACTAACCCCAAATTGCATACTCCATCGGAGTATGAATGTGTGTGAATGTTAGCTATAAAGCACTAACGAAAGATGTGAATGGGTGAATGCACAAGTTGTGTAAAGCGCTTTGAGTGCTCAGATGAGTAGAAAAGCGCTGTATAAGAACCAGTCCATTTACCATCTCATGATGATGAGGTGCAGGTATGTTATTCGACAAGTGTATTTGTGCTTGCCTCACCATGAAGGCCTGGTACAGCATTCACATCTGTATAGGAATTTCTTTTACTTATGTATTAATCACATTATTTTATTGTATAATGCCTTGGTGCCACTGGACTTTAACATGTCTGACACTCATACAGTAAGACAAATGGTGGGGGTGTAGTAAGGAAGTTGGGGGAAGCAGAGCACAGGAAGAGTCTTTTGTCTTTTCAAGGACTCTGGGAGGTAGCAAGGGAGTGTGAACCTGCCTTTTGTTCCTGAAGAAGGTATTTAACTGAGAGCCATGCTGGGCTCAGGGAGACTCTGCTGACCGTCTGTCCCGCGGTCATGTAGGCTCTCCACAAGCTTGGTTTTCTGTTCTTTGTGTGTTTGGATTAAAGAACGTTAGCTACCGCTCACTGCTCGTCTGCAGGCTTTATTTAAATGGAAAACTTCCACAACACATCACTGCAGACACCACCCCAATCTGTATGTCAGTCTTTTGCTCCTCTCTTCCCTCACTCGTAAGTAAGACCCTAATATGCTTAAACTCCTCCAATTGGGGCAGAAACTTGTCCCTGGCTCTGAGTGAGTGTTCCACCCTTTTCCATGGCCTCAGATTTGGAGATGCTAATTCTAACTTCTGCTGCTTCACATTCTGCTGAGAACCATTCCAGTGCGACCTGGAGGGCACCACCTTTGAAGCCAACAGAACCACATCATCTGCAAAAAGCAGAGATGAGATTCTGAGGCCATCAAAGTAGAATTAGTTGTTTGACTACCTCAGTAACCTCTCCCCCAGTGATGGGTTAGTCCCCCTCCTTGTCCCCAAACTGCTTTCTCTACAGAAGCCATGTCAGTGGGATTAAAAAGTATTACTTACACCGCCCAACACTGCTCAACTATATCCTTAGCTAAAGTCAACAAGCAGCACCCCCACCTCTAATGTACACTATGTAAGTAAAATACTGCTGTTACAAACTAGAACCTGACCACGATACTCACTGGTGTTACAGGAGGAAATCCAGGCTGTGCTGGGAATCCGGGCTGTGCTGGGAATCCGGGCTGGGGTTGAAAGCCTAATTGTGGAGCAAACGCAGGCTGAGCAGGAAAAGCTGACTGTGCAGGAAATAAAATACAAAAAGAAACCACTTTGTTATCACTGTTCTATCATATTCTTGATTATTTATCAGGTTTAAGATTATTCAAACATGAGCACAAATACACAACCAACTATGCTGCTATATTACTTTTCAAATAAACAGCCAATAAATTGTGTAAACTTCCTCACCACAGGGTTCTGAAAAGCAATGGAAGAAATTTCCACTTTTCCACCCACTGAGATGGTGTCAACCTGGTGAAATGGCAGGCGATGTCTGTACTCCATAAAGTAGCAGCCATTGATGCTGAGCTGGTAATAGTACATATGGAATTAAATTTGTGTCTTATTGTCCAAACAGTAAAAACTATTTTTGCACAACAATAGATTTTAGAGAAAGAATCACAAGAAGAGTATTTTAAGAAATTCTAGTTTTTTAAATAAAACTTTCAATACAATAAATAGATTTTTATGATATGAATGATCTGCTCTACACTTAAATAAACACACAAATACAGTAAAATGAAATGTCAACTGAGTAGATCATATTAAAATGTTTAGGAGCTGACCTGGTAGAAGTCCCGGGTGACAGCAATGACAAGAGTGAAAGAGGACCCAGCAGGAAATGGGGAATTGTACTTCCTCTCTTCAGTGCCCCAGCTCCCATTCTGGAAAGTGTTGGTCACCACATAATGCTGACTTTCATAGCGTGGGTTAATGTGGATAGCAATGTTCGCACCAGCCATGGAACCACACTGTAGATTCACATGGAACCTGTGAGTAAGAAAGTGAATAAGAAGGAATATATGGGTGTATCATGTGATTATATTCACAGACAACTAATGAGTATAAGTTGTAATTTTTAAGTTTTTGGAGTTTTTAAATGACTGTGCTGAGTAAAGAACTAAAAATTAACAAAAATATTCCTTACAGTGGGGCAATGATCTACAGACATTCATTTCTTTGTAAGTTACAAAGAAATGAACAGTCTGTACTTTTTATTTTACTGGAGAGAAAGAGAATAAGATCTTAAGATGCAGGAAAAAAAACATAATACATTAATATGACCTAGTAAACCTTTTCTGCTTTTCTGTTCATCCAAACATGGCAGGTTAAGGTAATGCTAAAGAACCTAATTTTATTTTCATGTGAGCACAGCACTTTCTCCTGTGCCTTGTCAGATGTTGACTGGCCTTTCAACGGGGGGTCACCCAAGCCCCTGCATTGTGAGGTCTGTGGACAACAGCACAGTGGTCAGGCTAACCGCAGGGGGATAACAACACTTTCTCTTATTCAGAATCATGTATAATGATAGGTTGGTGACACATGTTTTTATCTTCCACATTCCTGCAGTCCCACACAAGGTCAAGGTGTGTGTAAAGTTTGACCTGACACACTGGTATGTTGTTTACGTTTGAGGAGCATTTAGTGCAACAGCACATATGTAACATTTATTTGGCACCCACTCCACCAGCTTTCCAGCTAGTCCCCCTTCTGTTGACTCACACTTCGCTATATATCAGGGAGAAACCTCATTAGTTGATTCTGTGCACCTGTTTGCCAACCTCCCTGCACTGCCCCTTGAGCTCACTGCACCACCCCTCCCCTGCAGCTGAGCCAGGGACCTCGCCTGCCACGGTCTGCCAAGGTCGAAGCTGGGTCATGTTCACCCACACAAAATTCAGACATTAGAAGAGTCTTTTTTTTTTTTTTTTAAACAGAGAGCCGACCCAGACTTCCTGTTTTGGGGTTCTGGACCCTGCATATCAGATCCATGCCTTTTTTTAAAAAAAACAAAAAAAACACCTTGGCTCATGTGATGAGACACATGATTAATAGTGACCTCTTAAGTGGCTGTCCCTTAACACAGATGTGCAGCGGTCTGTATGGGCTATCAACTTTCAATGAAACAAACATATCTTTTCTCACACAGTAACTTCTTACTGTATTTACTTTTGTTGCTCCTGCCCCAGACACATCTGCCCATTGAGTGGACTGAACACTCTCACGTGGTTTTGGTGACTTAATTACTTCTGATTGGATCTTGTCAGTCCAGAACATTTTCATCTCATTTTTATTTATAGATGAAAGTGTTAATGTCCCCCTGCATTCGTTTTTATTTAGTTTCGTCTTGTTTTGTGCAAAAAAAAAAAAAAGTTGACGAAAGCTTTGAAGAAAATTATTGGTTAACAAATAAAACACTTCTGCTGATAAATAAAGGAACAAGCAGACAGACCTGTCAGCCCCAGGTACGACACGTCCACTGACAGTGATAGACTTCCCCTCCTGCAGACCACCTTGGATTGACCCAGTGAATGGGATTATCTAGAAAGAACATGGATAAACATCTAATTACTGGCTTTATATTTTGACTGCAAAATCTAATATGCTACAAAAATTAAATACATGAAGTTAGAATGCCACATAAACCAAAGAAACAGTGTCATTTTGTTACTGATCATTCTTTCTTTTCTTTCTAATGGATATATATCTACATATTTTGTAGCTACTTTGTTTCCTGAAGGTGCTCTTTGTATCACTTTCTTAACTTTTTAATATGTGTGTCTCTTTCTTCATGAATGTCTGTTTTTATGTTGGCAGCAGTTTAATAGAAGAAGAAAAGGCTGGCAAAATTGACATGAAAACTCACATCTAAGTTGGAAAAACACATATTTGTGAACTTCAATTTGTTCAGTTTTGAGAATATTTTGGTACACAAAGTTGCACAGTTGTTGATATCATACAAAGAAGAACACAAATTATTTGCTTCATTCTAAGGTTTTTTTATGGTGCAGATATATTTATTTCACAAATTCCAACTGGGCGATGGCTGTTTCTCGACTGGCGCTAGACTTCAGTGTACCATCAGAAGAGCTGAGATTGCGGGTTCCAATATACTCTGCATTGACTGATGCCCCCAGAACTCCAAACCAATGGAACGGGATATATGACTAAGTAACTTGTAAATGGTGAAAACATAATACCAACAACAAGTTGCTAAATGGTCGGACTATAGGCTTTATAAATATATATACATATCAGCATACACACACAGGAGGAAGTGATTGAAAAACATGAATTAGGCTAAACTCATTGGGGTGGGGAAAAGCAATAACACTCTATTTGAGCACTCAGTTATTCCTTATTACAAACTTCAGTCACACACACGCGCGCCAACAGGAAGCCTCCTCAACCTAAACATGGCAGACTTTAACCTAAAAATGCAGCCTGGTCCCAGTGTAAGGACCTCCAGGACCTCCACAGCAGCCAGCAGTTGGCACTCACATTAAAATAAATAAATAATACATTTAAAAAATGTAGAGTCTAGAAAAGAAAGTGTTTTATCGTCTCTCCCTGGAAAAAAGATTTTCACCCCAACGACACCTTTACATAGATATACAAAGGACAACAATAATACATGTTATCAGCAGCATAATTATTATTATTAGTGTTATTATTATATATCTGGTCCCAATAAAAGTCCTGCTACTCATGATGTACTTAGAACCAAAGAAGGGGGAAAGGCCTCAAAAATGCAAAAGGATGTTGCTGCTGTAAACCACTTCCTGCTAAACTGTCATGCATGAATTGCAGCTTCACTATTATAATCTGATCTTATAGGAAGTGGAATATAGAAATAATGAATACCATTTTACACAAGAACATCAGAGAATAGCTGTGACTTTAATTATTGATCTTCTATTATTGATAGACTTTTACACACTATCTTTAGTTTAAGTTGTGTGACACCAGTTTTAAAGCCTGCAGTTAGTCTTAACCGCACTGTTTATTGCACTTGGTTTGTTTGTGCGTCGCAGATGTTTAAGCAAATGTATTTACTTCTGGGCCACTAAACATGTCCAAATATGAATTCTGTTCTGGCTCGATATTTTACACGCTATATCCGTATCGGAATAACGCAAGTTGTTCGGGTTGTTTTCGAACTTTCTTTTTGTTCATATTCTGCGCATCTGTTTCCCACCTAACCGCTGCACTGGAGCCAAAACTCGAGACGCCTCACGGACTCAAGCATCTGCATGTGTCTTTTCTTCCCTGAAAACCTCGAGGCCAAAGTTCACTTCAGTGTTTTTTGTTTTTTTTTGTTTTTTTTTTTCCTTTTATTAGTAATATAAACATACAAACAAAATGCACCATATATTACAGATTCAGAGAATAAACATTTCTTACATATTAGCAACTTCACTTCAGTGTTTAGATTCAGGAAGCAGCAGTGTACACTTCCTCATTCACGCTGCTCGCAAGTGAACATTTTGGAAAGATCGGAAAGTTTTACAAAACAAAACTTTTATGATGGGCAAAAAACCCAAAACGTTTTACTCTCATGCGTATAACCAAGCCGACCAGCGAGGTCTAAAACTCGCACTGCCTGTTTGTGTTCGCTGCGTTCACCGGGCCTTGCGTAACGGACTAACGGAGCAGCCGTGAGAGAGGAGTATTCTTGCCGTCCGTGAAAGAGCGAAAAGTCTTAAGATGAACATATTTTATTCTCTTACCGGGTTGTAAAAAGGTGACTGCTGATAAAAAGCCATATCCCTGAACGGAAAGACGGAAGATTGTTGAGCTGTAGAGTGCTCTGAATTTCGCGAGTTAGCCCACCTTTAGGTTTCGTTTTTCCTATAATAGGCGGTATTTAAAGGTTTTTTGCAAGCTGCTTATTTGCTTATCCTGCCAGAGTCCCCCACCACCCCGCCCCTCTCCGTTTCCCTCAGCATTGACATCTGGCTAACTGTAGACTATCAGACCTCAAACAAGACTCTACAACACACACATTCATACAGACAGCAGACAGACAAATTTTCAATAAAAAATAATTTCACTACACTGTAACTCCTGCAGCAACTTAAAGTTTAATGGCAGGTGCTTGCTTCGGCAAGCGCGTACGCTAAATTGGATACGATACAGAGAAGATTAGCATGGCCCCTGCGCAAGGATGACACGCAAATTCGTGAAGCGTTCCAAAGCTTTAACTTAATATGGAAAGAAAATAATGGCTCTGTATTATCACTGTGGGAAAAATGATTTGGACTAGCACACACTTTTGTGCAATGATGCTTTCTTTACCACCACAGGTGTCAGGGCTCTGTGTGCGGGCAGGCGGAGAGGAGGATCCAAACGCAGGACTCAGACACTAACTTGAAACTCAAAGACCTCAGCTTTATTGCTGGTACGAAAGCAAAACATGAAGTGAACATGGACTATGGAGAACAGAAACACACAGGCATAATCTGATGATACGACGTGACACCGAGCATGGGAAAACACAGGGCTTAAATACACAGGGTAGTAATGAGGGAATGGGCAACAGAAGGGAGACACAGCTGGGGGAGATCAGGGCTAAAGAGACGGGGGAGCTAAGCTGCACACACCAACATAAGACAAAGACTTTCACAATAAGACAGGAAACAAGAAGTACTAAACCAGATGCAGACATGACACTGAGAGACAGACTAGACACTGAACAGAAACTGCAACACACATGAGAACCCAAAACCTAAGAACTGATCCCTCACCAAGAATAACAGAAACAGATCTATAATGATAATAATAAACAAAGCACCAGAACATCAGAAAACAATCCATAATGCAAAAATAAACCAAAACATAATAAACTCAAAATACTGGGTCCAACGGACCCAGAACCGTGACAGAACCCCCCCTCCAAGGGCTGGCTCCCGACAGCCCCAAACGAAAAAGCACAAAGCACCAGGCCAGGGTGGGCGGAGGGGGCCCAGGGGCCCGTTCTTCGTATCTCGCTAAGTAGGTTAGCTGGATTAGATTGTTGACGATTTCGCGTGATCTTGGATCGTTCGGTTCCCCGAAGCTCATCCGGGACTTGCTGCCATAGCAACAGAGCCATAAGCGTAAACCTGCTGGGGAGCAGGTTCGCTTTATGTAAACAGGATTAGATCGCGGCCACGCAGGTATGTCCGCTTCATTTATACGAAAGCAACAGCGATATTCCACCACTGTTTCACCATAAATAAATAACATCAATGTAACTAAAGATAATGCAGCACCTGATCCATTTATTGATGTCACACAGATACATACAGGTCATTTCCTAAAAAAGGGAAATGTACTATTAACATTCTATTACATGTATGTGATTATTTCAGATGTAATTCATATTTCAGAGTAGTAATTGCAAATTACTTCGTGTAATCAAGATGGGAGACCACGGCTATAAAAGCGAAGGTGGATTTGGGAAGTCTGTCGCAGCCATGTCCTGTCCGTATACGCGAGCAACCCATTGCGGAAGGTGCAAGATTGATAAGGAGAGTCCTCAGAATTCAGCGTATATTGCGGGACAGACAGGATCCTTTAGCTCAGCGCGACAGTGTGCTCATTGAGAGATATCGATTTTCCCGTGAGGGTATTATTCACTTAACCAACTTGTTGACGAGGGGGTGCAGGACCACCACCTGTCTTTTTTTGCTCTGCCCTTTTCTTGGTTGCTGTTATGAACAAACAAACAGATTCTTTCAGGGTCTCTGTCCAAGAGACTAAAAGCAATATAAGTGATAAATATTACCATTCTGTAGGATATTCTTATATTTCACTTTTACTTGTTCCCATGTTCTAGTGGGTCCTGTTGTGGCTCTAATGTGTAAGGGGATATAATATAACATAATATAATATAATGTAATATAATATTGGTTAATATAGTGTAATATAATAAATCTACCCTACCGCCTACTGGTGTTGGCCAGAGGGGCCGATGGCGCGATATGGCAGCCTCGCTTCTGTCAGTCTGCCCCAGGGCAGCTGTGGCTACAACCGTAGCTGCCTCCACCAGTGTGTGAATGTGAGAGTGACTGAATAGTGGCATTGTAAAGCGCTTTGGGTGCCTTGAAAAGCGCTATATAAATCCACTCCATTATTATTGTTATTATTAAATTACTTACGAGTTTGATTTGTCAGCAACTTTCTGCCAGCCCTCTCTCCTTGCTTTTGCAGCCTTTGCAGTGTTCCCTTGCGTTTTAATTAAACTCTGAAACTCCTGAAATCCCTCACTCAAGAGTTCTTGCTCTGCTGCCGAAAAATACCGAGCGCTCTCCTTCGACATTTTCGCCGACCAATCAGAGGGTTGCCGATCAATGTTTCTACTATCGATGCGTAGCCCCTTTTACGACACCCAGTGATCTCACATTACTTCATCCAGCTGTACTAATCATCAACAGCAGGTGTGTTCGGAGAACCGGATTAGCGAGCTCACGGTTAGCGCGATGATTTGGTCTTGGATGTGTCATTTGATCTTGGGTGTAGTAAGCGACGTACGAAGAACGGGCCCCAGGACGGAGGGACAGAGACCAAACAAAAGACAAGAAGAACCAGAGTCCAAAAACGCAGAAAAGCACATCAAAAACAAAAGGAAACCAGAGCTCAACAAGAGCCCACGAAAGGTTCAGGGGGCCGACCGTGCACACGGCAACGGCGGCGCGGGCAAAACCAATTGGGAGCCCGACCACTTGGAAGGCAGTGGCGGCCACAGAGCAGGTCCGGAGGTCCGGTGTGGCAACGGCAGGACCAGACGAAGACGAAGGCAGAGCTGAGGCTGGACCAGATGAAGACGGAGCTGAGGCTGGACCAGGCGTGGATGAAGACACGGCTGCGGAACCTGACGGCAGCGGGACGGCTGCAGGCGGTGATGCTGCAGGCAGTGATGCGAATGCTGCAGGCGGTGATGCTGCAGGCGGTGATGCTGCAGGCGGTGATGCGAATGCTGCAGGCGGTGATGCGAATGCTGCAGACGGTGATGCTGCAGGCGGTGATGCTGCAGGCGATGATGTAGAAGTCGCGGGGGATGATTCAGCAGGTGACGGCTGAACAGACTTCCCTGGACCATCAGCAAATGTGAGGATGTTTTGGCTGGGTCCTCCAGGACCCTCAGTTAACGAGGCGTGTTGCTGGACGGGCTCCTCGGACCCTCCAGCGGAGACAGGAGGCTGAACGGGCCCCTCGGACCCTCCAGCTGATGAAACTTGAGGCTGGACGGGCGACTCGGGCCCCCCAGCTGGAGCAGATGCAGGACCAGAAGCAATTGGGACCCCTGGCTGAGGATGAAGATGAGTGGCTGACCTAGCAGATGACAACGCTAATCTTTCCGCCACTAACTGAGCTACTGACTGGGTTATGGACTGTAACAAAGCTTGCAGAAAATCTGGTTGTGGTAGTGACTGAGCTATGGATAGCGGGGGTGAAGACTGAGCTATGGGTGACTGAACTTGAGATGAAAGTGATGGTGGTGGAGTTGGTGACTGGGCTACAGGTGGCTGCTGAGCAGGTAACACTGGAGACTGAGCTGAAGGTGGCTGCTGATCAGCTGACTGAGCTGAAGGCGGCTGCTGATCCCGTGAGCTCCGCCAGCAGCCAGCTGTGCCAGAGTGACCGAGCCCCAGGCCGAGAGGCCAAGGGCACCCCACCCCCGAAGTGGCCTGAGTGAGCCCCAGGCTCCAGGCCCCAACAAGCAGCTGCCAGGAGTGAGCCGGTGCGTACCTGGACGTCCATCCCCGGACACAAAGAACCACCAACGCACCGATGTCTGAGGTCGTCTGCCACTGGCAGGGAAAGTGGTGGGGGGAGATAGGCCTCCATACATTAGAGGGCCTGAGATGTCCCCAGAGAGGTAGCGTCTGATACCCAACCTGACATATAGACACAGACAAACAGGCACACACAGATACAGACATCCATTCCCACCCTCATGCTCTCATATGCACTTACTCAACACTCACCCAACGTGGAGACAGACATAAAGAGACACTGTACACACAATCACACTCCCCAAGCGTACTCTAAGCGCCAGGTCCAGGTACCCTTGCCCCTGGAGGGGGAAACTGCACCCAGACCCAGGTAGTGTTACCCTTTTCCCTGGGGTGGAGAGAAACAGATGGCCCTGGCTCGGCAGCAGCAGGGAGACCCCAGACCTCAATCGGACGGCCAACTCCTCCTCCTAGCCCCCCCGCTCCAATAGGCAGCAGAGAACGGGGGTGTGTGAAGACTCCAAACCTCCCTCCGCCTGCTCATATGTAGTGTTGATACATGTGTGTTCTAAGGTGCATTTAAAACCAGTTGCACAGTTGTTGATATCATACAAAGAAGAACACAAATTATTTGCTTCATTCTAAGGTTTTTTTTATGGTGCAGATATATTTATTTCACAAATTCCAACTGGGCGATGGCTGTTTCTCGACTGGCGCTAGACTTCAGTGTACCATCAGAAGAGCTGAGATTGCGGGTTCCAATATACTCTGCATTGACTGATGCCCCCAGAACTCCAAACCAATGGAACGGGATATATGACTAAGTAACTTGTAAATGGTGAAAACATAATACCAACAACAAGTTGCTAAATGGTCGGACTATAGGCTTTATAAATATATATACATATCAGCATACACACACAGGAGGAAGTGATTGAAAAACATGAATTAGGCTAAACTCATTGGGGTGGGGAAAAGCAATAACACTCTATTTGAGCACTCAGTTATTCCTTATTACAAACTTCAGTCACACACACGCGCGCCAACAGGAAGCCTCCTCAACCTAAACATGGCAGACTTTAACCTAAAAATGCAGCCTGGTCCCAGTGTAAGGACCTCCAGGACCTCCACAGCAGCCAGCAGTTGGCACTCACATTAAAA